ATCTCCAATTGGGCTTCAAGTCTTTGCTCCCCCTTAAGTTCTTTTCTTAACTATTACCATGTTTAAATTAGCAACCAATTTATTACCAACTGTGCAACACAGTGCATATATGTTGTTGTTGCTGTTGTGACCAATACATTCACATTTGTTAAAAAGTTACTGGTTTCCTAATGTTGCGTGCGACATTGACCAGTTTTTACAGTTCCAAATGGTTGATAACAAGAAAACCATGCAAGCAGGCAGGCAGCCAGACAGACCGACAGTCACTCAATCATATGGTTTATATGAAAGAAAAAAAACAACAAAACGGTAACTATGAATTTTCATAACCGGTTACCGGCAAAAATTCAATTCAATTTTTCCTCCTCGACCATAATTTCAGTACAACTTGGTCTGGTTTTCATTGTCAAGGTGAATCTACGCGCAAATAGCATGTTTCCATTACTGGCAAAAAAAATGCAGTGAGAAATAGCGGCTGTGGTAGTACATTTGGTGTTCCAAGCCAGCAACACCAATCATACCATTCGTCGTTGTCCAATTAGCTGACATAAAGAGTCAGACATTAACAATGGATAATTTATGTGTTTGAATTGCGAAGCGTGTGTCAGACTTAATATTTATAAATTTAAAAAATAGAAAATAACTTAATAATTTATACATACGAAAGAAAAATTAATTTGTTACAAGGAAACGTGTTGAAATTTCTCAAGGAAGTATTTTTGTGGAGTAAGTAAAAGTGGAATTTTAAAGGATATGCGTTGATAACATCACTTAAGTCTAATTTCTCAAGAAAGTTTTAAGGAATCAGGAAGACATTTATTTCATTACAGATTTGAACTTGGAAAATAAGCATTTTCCAACGATGCATTGCAGAAGCCATAATGGAAAAAGCCTTGTTAGAAATCGTTCTAACAAGTTAGAAATTGTTAGTCAGTTTCCTGTGTACACAAATATATGAATAACACATGAACAAAAGTTTGTTTGGACTTAAAATAAGTTTGATTAGACCAAAGAGTTTGTAACACCTTGAAATATTTGTCCTATATTCAACATGTAGTATATTGATCTTAGTATCTCGCCGATTTGAGTCGATCGTACTATGTGTGTCTATTCTTTTGCCCGCTGCCTATCTTAATTTGTAATCAATCTACAGGTCGCAGTTAGGGACCGTCCTCACGAAATTTTATATGGATTGAGATAAGGGTCAGAATAAATGCAAAATGGTAATATTTTGGTATTGGGTGAAGGGATATAAAAAAACTCAAATATGATATGGATGTTACTGTTGGTATTAAATTTGGGATTGAATAGAGCTGGAATTCTCAAATTTGGTGTGGAAGACACTGTTGAGTAAATGGATAGAGCTTGAATCCTTAAATTTGATATTGAGGTATGGTGGTGGCCAATTGTTATTATGAAACCAGTAAGGAAAGATCAAAAGGCGTGCGGGCCGACTATATGATACCCTACACCACTATGCGTATTTAGTAGAACTTCCGTAACAAAAAACGGAGGCTTTTCTATTTTTATTACTAAATAACATTGCTGTATAGTGCATGATATTACTTCGTTAAGGATTATATTAAAAAATATTTATTGGAGCAATAGATAGATATACCGGACCGAGTTTCACCAAATGGAAAAATTCATTTGAATACGAACAAATCTATGCAATTTGAGCTGATATTACATATATGGTGGACAATAACCATAAAATCGAATGAAGTTGTATATCGCAGGTAACCAATATCAGATTTATAGTGCACCAAATGGCTATTATCAGCCTAAATAGTCTGCATTTTGACACTTCCGACGGAAAATTCAGACCATTTAGGCTGATATTAGCCATTTGGGGCACTGATAAAGATATATATAGTAGCTATATCCAAATCTGATCCGATCTCGAAATTTGAAGGAGGTATTTTTGAATTGAGAGACTTAAAACCCAAACCAATTTTCACAAAATTTGATGTACATGCTTCTAGACTTAATTCGGTCGGATGAGCCAAAATTCAGGTCATTTGGATTGATATAGGTCATTTGGTGCACAAATAAATCGGTTGAATATATATATATATATATATATATATATATATATATATATATATATATATATATATATATATATATATATATATATATATATATATATATATATATATGGGAGCAATATCTAAATCGATTCTCACCAATTTCAACAGAATTTGTCCTTGGCCCAAACAAATAGTGTTTGGAAAATTTCATCTCAATCAGATAATTGTTTATTTTGAGCTCTTATCATGTAGAAACGCATTTAGGAAAAACAAGTAAAAAAGCTGTAAGTTCGGCCGGGCCGAACTTTTAATACCCTCCACCATTTGGTATAAATTTGGCAATTTCCAAAAAAAAAATAAAAAATAAAATCCGTTAAAAATTCTGTTAAAATCTTAAAAATACCGAATGCTTATATGACGACGTGGACCTGCATAGGCAACTTTTGTCATAAGTTATTACAATATTTAAATGCGAAACTTCAAGAAAAATCTGTTTATAATGTAGCTGAATCAAAATTCCGAATATGGGGGGTACCGTTATATGGGGGCTATATGTAGACGTGGACCTGCACAGACAATTTTCTGGCATGGGCTGAAGTATCCATTATGAACTTCACATGCGAAATTTTAAACAATCCCGGTAAAGAGTGTCGCTAAAATCATCAAAATACCAAATATCGGGGGGTACGGTATATGGGGGCTATATGAAGACGTGGACCTACATGATTCATTTTTTGACTTAGGATGTAGTATCCATTACGAACTTCAAATACCAAATTTGAAACAATTCCGCTAAATAATGTCGCTAAAATCATCAAAATACCGAATATCGGGGGGTACCGTTATATGGGGACTATATGAAGACGTGGACCTACATGGCTCATTTTTTGACTTAGGATGTAGTATCCATTACGAACTTCAAATACCAAATTTGAAACGATTCCGGTAAACAATGTCGCTAAAATCATCAAAATACCGAATATCGGGGGGTACCTTTATATGAGGGCTACACGAAGACGTGGACCTGCACAGATAATTTTCTGTCTTACGCTGTAGTATCCATTACGAACTTCAAATGCCAAATTTGAAACAATTCCGGTGAATAATGTCGCAAAAGTCATCAAAATACCGAATATCGGGAGGTACCGTTATATGGGGGCTATATGATAACTTGGACCTACATGGCCCATTTACGAACTTAACCTGCCTACTTGCAAAAAATACATATGTGCAAAATTTTAGCCTTCTATCTTAATTTGTTCGAAAGATAGCGTGATTTCAACAGACAGACAGACACACAGACAGACAGACGGACATGGCTAAATCGTCTTAGAATTTTACGCTGATCAAGAATATATATACTTTGTTGGGTCTGACATGAGTATTTCGAGGAGTTACAAACGGAATGACAAAATTAATATACCCTCCATAGTATGGTGGAGGGTATAAAAACTATAAATATAGGTCTTAGTTTTTGGTACAACAGAGTGCATGATTTTATTATTTTATTTTATTTATTAAGAGGGTTTTTTGTAGAAGGCGGAAAACATTCCGAAGATATTTAATATATATTTCCCAATAGAACCCATACAACGGGACATCCCAAGTTCACATGATGTACGGCTTTAACCCTTTCTTTCCATTCTACAGTAGAATTTTATGGCAAATATTTTTTTTTTTTTTTTTTTTTTTTTGTTGAATACTTGAACTTCCCTTGATCCCGTTTAAAGGGTGTTTTAAACAGTATCTTAAAAAAAGGACCAAAAATACCATTTCCGCGACTCGATTGAGGGTTAAATTGTCAACCAAAATAGTGCTCGCATTGACAGGAATCGCAGGAATCTTAATCCACACATTTCATAAAATGTGGTACTTTTCCTATCTTTTTGGTTTACTTTACGATGAAAACTTTTAAAAAGCCGACATACGTGTCTTCTGCTTTTTAGCTCTACTTTTATAATCTACTGGGTTCTTTAATTATAGAAAAAGTTTAATTTTGTCGCACAGTGTTATAAAGACATTTAGTCATAACATCTTCCATCCTCATATAAATGAGGGTTCTCTCTGGGAATATTTAATGTACTGCTGAATTTGTAAAGGGTATTGCATAATCGGCGCAGCCCGGCTATATCACTTTCTTACTTATTTTCAATTTTGTTTTTGTGTAGGGTAACACCAGATCCCACTTACCAATTAAAATATTTTTATTATCATTGTTCTTCAGCTATGAGAGAATCAAGTGACGTAACATACTTGCCAATCAACGAAGTGCTGTTAATTTATGAGTACGATTCTTCAAAACGGCTTCTTGAATACAGCTGTATTAATACCTTGAACAATCTGTTTAAACATTTCGATTAAGACAACATCCACCAAAGACGACAGCAAATTTTGTTTTAACAAGAATGGTAATGAAAAAATAATTAACAAAAACTGATAAAGACCAATTGCATTCCATGTCTGGCTCATCAACGCACCGTGTGTGTGTATTATGTTGCACAGAGATATGTTTGAGGATATGTCCATTCAAACATATATGTATGTATGAAGGTATGTAAATATGCTTGAGAGTGAACAAAGCATAGAAACCCCAATTAAAAGAACATTGCTCCAAATGTTTTTTTGTATTTACATGTATGAATGTGTGTTGATCTTGATCTCCTTATAATATACATACACATGTATGTACATATGTAAATTATTTCTTCCAAGTAGTTATGTATATGTTTCTCTGTTTCTCGCATTCATATCAACCAAATTTGAGTATTTATTTCGCTTGGAGAATTTGCTTTGTTGTTGTTTTTTTTTCGGTAAGGGGGGAGTGATCACCCCAAACCGTTCAAACACCACCACCAACAAGCTGAGAACAAAAAACAAAGTATCACAACTTAGACCGATCGGATTGGATTGGATGAATGGCTCTGAATAGATCAATGTGAGGAATGAAATTACTTTTTTGTCGGTTTAATTTCTCGCCTTAGTTTCATCGTAAAAGTCGTTGCGGAAAGACGCCCTGGAAATTGTAACCAACCGCAACCAAAGCCAAAGAAAAGTTCATTCAATTCTATTTGAATTTTGAAAAATAAAATTCTTCTTTGTTTTAATAAAGAACAACAAAATTCGTCGTCATTGCTTTTGTGTGTTAAAATTGGCTGGTTGTTTTGTCTGACTGTCGGTCTGACACATTGACATAATGAAATCTTTTGTTTTCTTATCATTTCTTTGTGCAGCTTTAGTGCTGGCCAATGTGAGTGAGTTCAATGTGAAATCAAATATTGTGCAAATATTCTAAGAACAATAAAAACAACCAAATTTTGTAAAAAATGAAAAGAATTAAATTATTGAAAAATATATATTTTATAAGATTAATTTGAATTGAAGATGTAAGATGCTTGTAAGAAATTACTGTAATTAGTTGTGAATGCAAGAAAAAATTACAAAGTTGCACCTTTGGCCATCAACAAATTTCATTGGAAATATAAAATTGGATGTGGTGAATAGTCGGACTGAAATGAGAAAATTAAATGTTAAATAATATTAAATGTCGTGGACCTATTCTGATTAAAATGAGAAAATTAAATATTAAATAATATTAAATATCATGGCCCTATATTTTAGGGTGTAAAGCACTTACATAGAACTCTTTGTGAAGAATTTCAGACGATTCCATAAAAAATATGTAGGTAAAATTATCAAAATTCCGAAAATCGGGAGCTACCGTTATATGGGGGCATACGATATCGTGGACCTATATAGAAAATTCTCTTTCAGGGGGGAAAGTACTCACCGAGAACTCCCTGTGTAGAATTTCAGATAATCCAATTGAAAAATGTGGCTAAAATCATCAAAACACCGAATGTCGAGAGATACCGTTATATGGCGGTCTGACGCATTGACACAAAATCTTTTGTTTTCTAATCATTTCTTTGTGCAGTTTTAGTGCTGACCAATATTAGTGAGTTCAAATACATTAAAAATGTGAAATCAAATATTGTTTAAATTTGCTAAGAACAATAAAAACAACGACACGTTTTAAAAATTAAATTAAATTATTGAAAGATGAAAATAATATTTGTTTTAAGATAACGTATTTTGTGGATGCAAGAACAAATTACAAAGTTGGACCTGTGGCCATCAATCAAATTCATAGAAATACAAATTTGGACTTAGTGAATATTTTAATTCAAAGGAGAAAATTAAGGCACTTTTAAAATAATTGATTACAGAATGTAACAATTGATGGCAGAATATAAGACATAGTCTCATTTACCAAATAAGCAATTGTAACAAAGCATCAAATTTTAGAATAAGTTTAGATTTGTTCGAATTGGTCACCTTTGGCATGGCCTTCAAACGGCCAATGAAACCGTCACATGCTGTCCGAATGTTGCTCTGCGGTATTTTGGCCCATTGGCCCATACTTTGGCCCATTCGCGCTTGCTTGAGGCGATCGACACTTTGGTATTTCTTAGTGCCAACCTTGCTTTCCAAAATACTTCAGACACAATAGTCCAACGGATTGGTATCCGGAGATTTTGGTGGAACGAGGAACCTCATTTTGTAACCATTCTTGGAGAGCGCGTGCTGAGTGCGATGGTGCTAAGTCCTGTTGGAATGTCCAAGGTCTGCGGCCAAAATGTTTGCGTGCCAAGGCTTTAATACACTCTCCAGAATATTTTCGCGATAATATTCGCCATTTATTCTGATGCCACGGTCGATTAATACGAGCGGAGTGCGGGAATCGTCTGTTATGGCGGCCCACACCATCACCATGGTCGGCGCTTGAGTTCTGGTGGCCAACCGAAGGTGCATATTTTTAGCTGACCTCTTTGGCAAGTAAACACAATCATTTTGTTTGTTTGCAAACTGCTGGACAATGAATCTTTTCTCATCGGAGAAAACCAAATTCGGCAGTTCACCACTTTCGGCCAAGCGAAGCAACTCGTTTGCTCTTTTGAGTCTATTTTCTTTCTGTTGCGGTGTAAGTTCTTGCACTTTTTGGAATTTCGATGGCTTTACCCTGAGCTCATTTTTCAATATTTGCTGAATTGAATATTGCGATATGTTCAGCTCACGAGTCATTTTTCGGCCACTGCGACGCGGATTTCGTTCAAGTCGCTTCTTTACTTTTTGAACCATTTTTACTGATGTTGCTGTTTTCTTCCGTCCACTCCATTGACGTCGGGATACGCTACCAGGTCAAGGTAACGAGCGATAGTACGAGACACAAAAGATTTATTCACATTTAGATGCTGGATTGCTCTAACAATAGCCTCTTGTGGTTTTCCAGCCAAATAACATAACTTTCTTTTTGGAAAATTCTCTCCAAAATGCTTTTGTACGCTTGTAAACAATATAATGAGCTGTCAGTGGAATAATTTTAACAACTGGCGGACGAGTGGCTTAGGAATGAGAGCAGTCTGAAATTGGTTGCAATTTTTTCAACTCACCCTGTATATATTCCATTGAAAAATGTGGCTAAAATCAAATCAAAATTCCACATACTAGAATGGGGGCTACACGATATCGTGGACCCTATAGTACTCACTGAGAACTCCTTGTGTAGAATTTCAAACAATTCCATTAAAAAATGTTGCTAAAATCATCCAAATAACGAATATCGGTAGGTACCGTTATATTGGTGATATCGTGGACCTATATAGACAATTCTCTTTAAGGAGGTAAAGCACTCACAGAGAACTCCTTGTGTAGAATTTCAAACAATTCCATTAAAAATGCTGCTAAAATCATCCAAATACCGAGAGGTACAATTGTATGAGGGCGTAACATTTTTCCAGGGCGTAAAATAATGAGAAGGAACTCCTTGTGTGAAATTTCAGACGATCTCATTAGAAAATATGGCTGAAATCAGATTACAGATACAGTCTCCAAATTTGGAATGTGTTACGTTATTGAGAACAAAAATGAATTTGTCAAATTATTATTGAAATCGGTTCAGATTTTTTCATATATTTTCGACCGATTTCATGTGCCGAAGAATTATATTTTCTAATTTCAATGAAATCTGGAAATAAATTTGTAAAATTATATTGAAATCGGTACAAATTTGGATATAGTACCTATATACATTTACCCCTGATTTCGAGTATTTGATGCTCCAAACTCACTAGAATGTTAAATTTCGATGAAGTTTGGAATGTGTGATAGAACTTAATTTATATGTTTTGCTACCTAGAATTCCTCCAATAGCTACAAAAATGCCGTTTAACTTGAAAAGATTGCAGTTCCCTGTTCGGTTGGCATTTGCTATGACAATTAATAAATCCCAAATACCAACTCTTCGTGCATGCAGACCAAATATAGCATGTTCTTGCTTTTCTCATGGTCAGCTGTATGTGGAATGTTCACGTGAGGGTACCTACCTTCTGAACTTTGAATGCATATAAAAGCAAGAGGGGTAGCGAAGGGCACCGGGTTCAGCTAGTAGGTATATATAAGAGTTGCTTTCCAACTGCGTCTCAAATGAAATTTTTCTCCAAACATAACGACGATTGTCGGTTAGACTTATATTTGTTTGTGGTTCTAGTAGATCATTATTTACTCTAATCGCTCTAATTCGTTATAATTTTTCCTTCGTTTCAGGCCGAATTGGAATTCGATAAATTAAAAGTGGAAGTCTATTATGAGACCCTGTGTCCGGACAGTATGCGTTTTGTACGCAATCAATTGTATGGCGCCATGATCGATGGTAGTCTGTTGCAGTTCACTGATTTGGTATTTATACCCTACGGAAAAGTGGGGGTAAGTTGTGATGAATATTTCCGCACTCAGATATAAGTTTTCTTATAATCCTATCCACTCAAGTCTTGGACGAATCCCAGCAATAATGTAACCACACTTTTCTGTCAACATGGCAAACGGGAATGTGAATTGAATGCTCTGCATGCCTGCATCGTGGAACATAACACAATGCGGGAGCAATTGGATATGATTACATGTCTCTTGAATGGTTATTCCACCGATATTGATACGGTGAGTTGGATGGAAAATAAGTTCATATGATCTGTGTAATAAATATATATTGGTGTCTTTAGTGTGCAACCCAACTGAACATTGATGTTACTGCGGCCAAAAACTGCAAGGCCACCCGAACTACTGTGGATATTTTGAAGAAATATGGCAATATGACAGATGCCATTGATATGACATTTGTACCCTCCGTTGCTATTGGTGGGGTAAGTTTCACATAACCATATATTCTTTCATTTTCTGTATTTGTTTTTTGTTCTCTCTTTGCTAGGTCTTTGACATATGGAAACAAAGAAGTATTCTGCACAATTTCGCCAAAGTCTTTTGCCGTAAATATAAGGAGAAGTATGATGTGTATCTACAAGATTGCTATTGAATGGGATTTTTACCAAAGAATTTGATAATTATAATAGAATAAGAAGAATAGCTGCGTTTTGTGATATTCTATCAACAATAGTTGTGCTTTTAATAATAAAAAGATATGTCAAGTTCGACGTCGAAGTATACATATGTATTTTTTTCGCGTGTGGACGTGTTATTTGAAAACTTCCCTGCGATACCATCATAGTATGTGGTATACCATCATAGTATGTGGAAATCACTCTAGCTTCCGAACGAAATGAAGTTGGTTAATGAAATTTTACTCAAATGTATATTATGTCTGCAGGGCTTTTGGCATTGAAAATGGGCCACGTTTTGGTATAGCCCCCATATAATGTATCTCCCTTTTTTCTGTATTTTGGTGATTTAAGCGACACTATTCACCGGAAATGTTTCAAATTTGGTGTTTGAAGTTCGTAATGGGTACTACAGCCTATGACAAAAGATTGTATGTGCAAGTCCATGACTTCGTATAGCCCCCATATAACGGTACTTAGCGACATTATTCACCGGAATTGTTTCAAATTTGGTATTTGAAGTTCGTAACGGATGCTACAGCTTATGACAGAAAACTGGCTGTGCAAGTCCATTTCTTCATATAGCCACCATATAACGGTACCTACTGATAGTCGGTTCTTTGATGATTTTAGCGACAATATTCACCGGAATTGTTTCAAAATTTGGTATTTCAATTTCGTAATGGATACTTCAGCCTATGGCAGAAAATTGTCTGTGCAGGTCCACGTTTTGGTATATCCCCCATATAATAGCACCTCCCTCCCGGTATTTTGATGATTTTAGCTACAATATTCGCGGATTTTTTGTCAAGTGTCGCATTTCTATATTGTTATGGCTTGTAACAAATGGTGCCAATGCAGGTCCACGTCGTTGTATAGACCCTACGATAATGGCTATATTCAGTATTTTTAGGATTTAGACAGAATTTTTAACGGCTTTTATTTTTTTGAAAATTGTCAAATTCGTTCCAAATTGTGAAGGGTATTAAAAGTTCGGTCCGGACGAACCTACAGCTTTTTTAATTGTTTTTATACGCACTTTATTGGACCATCAAATCCCTTTATTTCAATTCCTTATTTGTATACCCTCTAACTTGAAAAGGAGGGTATATTAACTCCGTCACTCCGTTTATAACATCTCTAGATATTCATCGTAAACCTTTATGGGGTCTATAGGTACAGGGTTGCCCATATTCGACGGACCCATGGAACAAATTCTTCAGAAAATCGATTGTTATGCGACTTGTGTGCGGTGGAGCGCCGTCTTGTTGAAACCAGAACTGCCTCATACGCTTTCGACGAATAATTGGCATCACAAAATTGGTCATCATGTCGCGATAATGCTCCTGATTGACGGTAACAGCATGGCCATTTTCATTTTGGAAGAAAAACGGCCCAATGACCGTTTTCACACTAACGCCGCACCAAACTGTGACTTTTTCGTCATGAAGAGGCACTTCTTGAATCTCCTGAGAATTTTCCCATTCAATGTGAAATGGGCTTCATCGGTCATGATAATTTTGTTCCAAAATTGCTTGAATGTAAATTTCAACTATTTCAGAGCGCTCGCGTGGCGTGGTTCATGGTAAAAATCTGTTTGGACTGACGCTTCAAACGCGGTATGTCATTAAGCGATGTGACATCTCTGTCAAAAGTTATGGCGTTGCCAGATGGGTCCGTCGAATATGGGCAACCCTGTATATATATTCCTAATCAGCATACAATTCGGAGTCGATTTAACAATGTCCGTCAGTCTACCTATCTGACGAAATTACAATACAGCCCACATAATTTGACGTAGAGCTTCAAAATTTGGCAGATGAATTTGTATTGTTTCTAGGATGTTTGGAATTGAAAATTAAATACATCGTTCCACGTTTTTTAATATGCCCCATATTGTGGTACCTCCCAATATTCGATGTCTTGATGATTTTCGCCATCGGAGCTAGAACCCATTATGACCAACAAATACCAATTTTTAGACAAATCCGTGGAAATATGTGACAAAATCATCAAAATTCCGAATATTAAGAGGTACTGTTATATGGTGGCTACTCCAAAACGTGGACCAATATATCTCGTTTTCAATACCAATCATCTTAGACAAAATACAAATTGTTCTGCCAAATTTTCAAGCAATACATCAATAATGTGGTAGACAGTCAGACGTACACCGTAATCGTCTTAGAATTTTATGCTGATTATGGATATATAATCATTATTGGGTCTACGACGAAGGGATGTTACAAACGGAATACTGTCTTTTTCAAGGTGGAGGGTATAACAAAAGCGGTTGAGACTCGGAGATGTGGAAAATAAACGTAAAAAGCTTTATTAAAATAACTAAATCGGTTAACCCATAACGGAGACATTAAAAAACTAATTATATCCTAGCGCCTAAAAGTATACAACAATCAAAAATATTTAGCTAAATCATCCACAAAAACTACTTTCCATTAATTCAATGTTGTCGAATTCGCGCGATAATCGGGACCAGAAGCATTACGGATATATGTCGAAGTAGCCACTAGTGACCAACATTTCAAACTTGGCAACTCCCAATATACAAATTTCTTTCATTAATGCTAACATATATCGCATCTGGCAATGCTGTGGGTTTTTCACATATCTCTTGTTGTTATGGTCTAATGTTATGTTCAGACTAACATTGTTTGCCACATATTTTTTGTGCTAATGTAGTCGCATCAAGTAAGTTTTGTAATTTCAGAAAAAAAAAAATAAAATTAAAATACATAGGACGGTTATTACATATTTCCGATAGATGTTGTCGGAAATACACCCCTGAGGCTTTCTGTCAGAATTACTCAAAACTAGAATCAACAGGCTGTTCTAACTTGTTTAACATGTTTCTTTTTTGTTTAAATTGATTAAAAAGCGCGAATAATGAATGATAAGCTTTAATAATATTATCCAACTTGATCAATCCTTCAATTCCATGGAAAAAATTCTTATTACCTTTAGAAAAAAATTTATCACATTTAGAAAAAATATTGTAATCAGCTGGTAGCTTTACCTTACCTTTTTATTGTACCATGGTTATTGCCATTGATCAATAAAAAAGGTTGCTCAACTTCAAAGAAACCAAAATAATACAACTCTGTACCGTAGAATTTTAGTTTCTAAAAGACTTTTAAATATGCAAAAAATTTTTATTCTGCATTTTTCAAAAAATTACTATATTGGGAAAAACACACACAACATGAATGAAATATTCAGGTTTCACCACAAAATAAAATCGAAGATAAAGGGACAATATTGTTTTGTCCCAAAATTTTACATTTTGTCACTAGTTATCGTGAAAAATATGCATTTTTGTTGTCTCATAACTTTAAATGATTTAAAATTGTTTTCTTTTTATTCAAAACAATATACACACATAGGTCCGTTTTTATATCTTTCCTTTACAGTTCACTTTTGTTATCCCTTACTTTAGGAAAAGTGAAGTATAAAGTTCACATTATCGGGTTCTCATTATTACATATATCCTTTAACATATATGCATTTTGTACAGAGATATGGCAAGATTTTTTAAAAGTAAATGGTATCTTCATTTTAGTTTAAAAATAATAAATAAAAAATTGTACAAATTTCAATAATTTTTCATTCAAAATTAATCTATATTTCAATCAAATTTTCGATATCAAATTTAAAAATAAATTGGTGAGTAAAACCAGTGTCAAAATTTTTCTCTTTCTTGGTCCCATTTTCTGTAATTGTTAGTTAACAGACAAAATTCAGATTTTGAATAAACAGACATTTGTTGTTGTTTTGATTCTATTTTCCAATCATGGTAGAAGAATACAGGCAGATGCATCAACGCTTGGGAACATTGATATGTGAAAAAAAATTAAATTTTCTTTCAAATATAAGTAGATTTTTATATGTTTTCTTATACGACGTCATTCGGAGGTTATAATTCGCGTTTTCAACAATTTTTACAAATTTAAATAATTTTTTATTCAACATTTTCAATTACAAAATTGATTTGACAGTTCATTGATGCGTCTACATATATTCTTCTACCACGATTTAAACAACACCACCATGGCTTGTATTACCGAATATCTACAACATTGTTGAAAGCGTCCTATGAACATGACAGTAGCCTTGATGGTCGCCATACAATAATCGATTGGTCGATTTTCTATCTACCAGGAATCGTTTTGGACTTTTGCAAAAACTCGATTAATCGATAGTGGCAATGTCTTTTCTCTTGTAAATCGTATTCACGATTGTCACGTCAATTCGTGTTGGGTGTATTAATTTATTAAATTTTCCGAAGAAAATTGTGAAAAATCATAAAAAACCTCTGGTGGAAAGTTGTAAAAATGAGTGAAACTTTAAATTCATCCGGTGCATTGCACTTTGAGAAGCCGACGGTGCAATACAATGAGACTGGTTGGGGACCATGCGAAATGCCCGACACCTTCAAAGATGTGCCATATCAGCCATTCAGTAAAAGTGATCGTCTGGGAAAGATTTGCGATTGGACTAATACATCCAATAATGACAAGAAATATCAAAGTAAGTTGATGGGGAATCCATGGAAAAGGCAGACGAAACAGACAAAATTTTACGATGTTTGTAAAGAGTTAAAACTGCTTCATATGAGTAAAAAAGTTGGGTTATGTTAAACAACAAAATATGTGGCAGACAGCCGTTTGTGCGTGTGTGTATGCAAAAAATTTCCCTTATGCAATTTTGTTGTTTTTTGACATTTCGTGGTAAGAGGGATATTTTTTGTTGTTGTTTGTTCTGACATTGCCATGGGAAATGCAAATCAAAACAAAGAATTATTTACAATAATACCGATAAAACAGATGTTTGAATGAATGCTTCAAATATTTGCAGATAAATATGCTTCTTCCTTTGGCACTGGCAACCAATATGCCTACTATCATGAAGAAGATGAAACCACTTTCCATTTGGTGGATACTGCTCGTGTACAAAAACCACCACATCAACGTGGACGCTTCAATGCCCGCAATTTGCGCAATGCCAGGTAAAATTCCATATATATTTCTCCAAACATACTTCTTTTAACATTTACCACTTCATATATTTTTTTTACAGAAATGCCAGAGGTC